AATGTTTACTGAACAGATTAGTAGAAGGAGGCAGCTCATCCTGCAACACTCACCATCCCACTATGATCAGCAAACTAACTATAAATTATGAATTCAGGATTCCATAAGCAAATATGAGTAAGGAAGGGTACGATTCCATCCAGGTCTATCCAGCTTTATAGAACCCAACTGGCACAATTTTTATGAAATGCCAAGCATAACTGTTCTGGAATGGAGTACGCTATAAGAAACTACCAGAGTATTTCACTTTATCAATGAAAAAAAAAAAAAATCAGATGTTCTTCTACTTTAAAGAATTACTAAATGTCAAAGGTAATTTTCAGGGGTCATTTGGCGAGGTCTGTGATGACTGATAATTCCAAAAACTGTTTTATGTGGATAGTCATGCATGGTGATGCTTAATAAATAAATGCTGCATTGTAGTGAGGATTTTCTTTACTTGTACAATAAAGGAGCCATGGCATTATTCATAAATCCTTTAAAGTTTTTGCAGCCTATTTAGGGATGTCTACTGCAATACTGAGCAAAAAGCCTCAGAGTCAACTCCACTTAAATAAAAGACATAAATAAAATGTATGGACTCAAAGAGGCCTAGTCTAAATGTTCTGTAATATGAAATGTTCATAACCTATTTAAGTAGCAAAATGTGTGTAGACATGCGTCAATGTTTTGATTTACACACACACACACACAGTAAGTAAAGAGGAAATACAAAACAATGGAGACTAAAAAGGAAATATAATTTGTATCCGTTACAATTAAAGAATGCAGCTACACTTTCCAGCATACTGGGGAAATTATAAGATTAAGAATAATGATACTTTGCAGATAAGCAGCAGGTAATACATATGTATAGCGCATGATGACAGACATTGGTGACAAGGATACTGTTCTACTGAACAGTGGGTGGGTCATGTGTATAGAGTGTGTTGACAGACAATCTATGCTACTGAGCAGTGGATGGAACATGTGTCTAGTGTGTGCTGTCAGACACCAATGACAGAGATGCTGTGCAGTGAATTGTATATGTGTATAGAATGTGCTGATAGACAACAGTGACAGGGATACTATGCTGCTGAGTAGTGGATAACACATATGTATAGAGAGAGTGCTGTCAGAGAAAAATGACAGGGACAATGTGCTCCTGCACAAAGGACAGACACTAATTACAATCTCTGTAAAAAATCTGCTGTCAAGCAAAATTTGTGAACGAATAATGGGCATTAACACGAGTATATCAGAAGCCCCTAATTTGCATATTATTCAGTGTTGGATAAACAAACACAGAAAATGCATTCATAACCAAGATTTCTCATTTAACAAGAGTTAGCATGTAAACATATAGAGGCTAAAAAACATACTTTGAAGATATAATAGACTATTTCTTATATTTTGTTTCTTTTCACCTGCTGATTTGTTCAGTTACTGCAGGTACCCTGGAGAAGAATGTATGCCAAATCTTCTAAATTCTAGCATTCCAAGGGCAAAAGGATTTCTTGTGACATTTCTGCTGGTTGTCCCATCGGGTATGTGGTTTATAGGGGGGACACGTGACTTATATTCTGTCCATTTAACTAAATGTCTCACTCAGACAAACCTCCAGCTCTGCAATTTTTTATATATACTGTCAGGCCCTGTAAAAGTCAGAATTCTATACACAAAATATTTCCAATGGGCAAGACAAGAGGAATTAGAGGTTCATAGTGCTTCACTAACGTTAATTCACTGCCATAGACACTCACGCTATTACTAGTTTAATTAAGAGCAATTTCCACCTTTATTAATCCTCTTTACCTGTACAAGCTTGAATATCACTACAGCTCTATCAGCAGCAAGAAGAACATTCATATTATTGATTTCCTGTCAATGCTTCCCAGCAGTGTTCCTCAGAAACACTTTTCTTCTCTAAAAAGCATTTGGCCTGAGATATGTCTGAGCTTGAAAACAATATATTTTGCAGCAAGGACTATATGAAAAAAGAAATTGGACAGAATAATATGAGAAAAGTTGATTGTTGGTGTACACTGCAATGCCTCTTAAAAAGTTTCAATAAAAAGGATAACCGCAGCTTGTTAAAAAAAATAAAAAATAAACTAAGTATATGCCCCAGCTTGGCCAGGGAGTGCTTATGTCCTTGGGGTGTTTTAGCATCATGTACTGGGCACTGGGCCTAGCTAAAGAAAATAACTCTTGTGTTGGCGCAAACTCAACTAAAATATTTGTCAAGATTTATTCTACACACATTTTGTTTCCCTCTACTTCTGGTGTATCTAGTTCATTCAGTGCTGCAAAATGACGCACATCTCCATCTGTACATTAATCCCTTAGAGTCACATAAAAATCTATAGCCTTTATTAATTCATTTAAAAGTTTCTTTCCTTTTCCTCCTTTAAAAAGCACCATTTGCATTTCAGAGGGAGGAGCTAATCTTATTCATTATCTCCTGCTGTTATCTCCAACTCTGCTATTCTTTTCCTTTTCCTAGAGTAACAGAAGATACAAGGAAAAAAAAAATAGGGTTGGAGATAAAAGCAAGAGATAATGAATAAGAATAGTTCCTCATTATAAAATGGAAAGGGTGCTATTTAAAAAGGAGGATAGTGGAAAAGGGAAAACATAAAGGGGAAAAAACGAGTTTAAATAAAAAGCTGTAGATTTTTTTTGTGACTCTATGGGGATGATGTACAGGAGGGAATGTGTGTCAATCTGCAGCACTGAATAAACTCAGGGCAGGTGCCATTATTTTGTATGGTTGGGCCCACTATGTGTGAAACATTTCAGGCAACCTTGTTCTTTTCCAGAGAGTGTAGCGTTTATTGGATTCCAGAAACAGATGAACAGAAACAGTCCTACAGAGTAAAAACAATAATAATAAAATATAATCCTTGCGATTTCCTTTCTGTGTATCTAGACCTCAGATGACAAATGCTCCATAAGTATACACACACACACACACTCCATCCACCCAGCATATATATCCAGTCTACTGTATATACGCTCATATGCAACTCCCTCCTCATTGGCCTTCCACTACATAGGCTATCCCCCCTTCAGTCTATCATGAATGCAGCTGCTAGACTCATCCACCTAACCAAACGCTCAGTGTCTGCAGCCCCCCTCTGCCAATCCCTGCACTGGCTTCCAATAGCCCAAAGGATAAAATTCAAAATATTAACAATCAGTTACAAAGCCATCCACAACTCTGCCCCCGGCTATGTCTCAAACCTTGTCTCAAAGTATCACCCTAACCGTCGGCTCCGCTCTTCCCAAGACCTCCTGCTTTCCACCTCCCTTGTGAACTCCTCCCATGCTCGCATCCAGGACTTCTCTAGAGTCTCTCCCATCCTCTGGAATTCTTTACCCCAACCTGTCCGTCTGTCGCCCACCTTGACTGCCTTTAGGCGATCCCTAAAGACTCATCTCTTCAGGGAAACCTATCCCACCTCAACCTAACCGATATACAGTTTACCGCCATTCACTAACACTGAAAAGATTTCTGATTGGCTGGTCTAATGATCCATTTGATGTTACATCTGTTTAGGGAGTTTAATATATGTGCTTCTGTCTTAGAAACATTCCTATTAAATTGAAGCTTGCTGACAGTGGGAGCAGGGAATGGCTGAAATTCATTGCTTTGATAACCTCTTTCTGCTAGTAGCAAAATTTTTACTTAGACAAATATTTTGTATATAGGCGTTATTTGATATTACTTTATGTGATATAATTCAAAAAATTTGTGTAATATTAAAGTGCCACTAAACTAAGGAGTTAAATCTTAAAAAATGCATTCAAGTACCTTTAAAAAGGAGAACTATGGGGTAAGTGATTTTCACTCATCCTCATAGTTCGAGCCGACGTGTAACAATGACACTGTCACACGTCGGCTCAATAGATCAGGAAGTGAGCGAACACATACCGTCGCTCTCTCACGCGATATTCTGAGCTTTGGGTCACGGGAGGACACTAGTTTATGTCCTCCCGTGACCCTTAGGAGAACTATGGGGAAAAAACACTGACCCCCCATAGTTCTCCTTTAAGTCTATGACAGGAGGGAGCTTGGAGCAGTAGCTACTTTACAGCACACACAGGGACCATTGAGAACAAAAGTAGCCACACCCCAGAAGGAAGGACAGTGTCAGCACCAATTCAAAGATGATTTGAGGATTTACTGCTGTGCGATACACAAATAAGATAGATTTTTGTTACTAGATAGGGTACCTGAATGCATTAAGATTTAACTCCTAAGTTTAGTGTCACTTTAACATTGTAGTCTGCAATAAAAAAAAAAAAAGAGATACTCATTAAACTACAACCAATTTGTTTTTACTTTAAGCTTGGATGGAGTGGGGACAGCTTTTTGTGTCTCCATTAGGGAAATTTTCCATTCATTTTTTTACCCATGGCATCTGGAGAGGAGAGCAACTGGGGTCCCAGGGGAAGAAGGCACATAAAGCAAAATACAGTATTCCTCATTCTACTACAAAAGGTTTTTGGTGCGGTTTGTGTGCCCACTGGAGAAGCTTCCCATCATTTTTTGTCTCTCTGACTCCTTGTCACTGGGAAGTGAAGGGTCATTTTCTCAATGTAGATAGTTAGTAATACAAAGTTGGCAAAACATCTAATCCTTCTCATTCTTTTTTATTGTCATTTATGGCTGGGGTCAGGGTTTAAGTGCATTATTGTTCAACACAAAATGTTTAAAAGCATCAGAAACCAATAGTATCTTGGATACAAGGACTATCTCTTCCCCAAAAAGAATTAATTTCCCTGCACATAAGTCAATTTCACATCCAATAATCTAACTGAAGGACACTATTTACACAAACATATTGCCGGCCATCCTCAAATGTCTAATACATGGCTTCACAGCCAATGTAAATATATATTATATATTATATATACACACACATACATACATACATACACAAGATGTCAAAAAAGACAAAAACGCAGTATTGTAGTGTGCATGGTACCAACAACTATTATGACAGACCCCTTACCAGTTGGGATTCTCTTTGGATTCCCTGTACACAGACTCTTCGTTCATAGATGCATACTGGGACCATGTTAAGCAACGGCTCTTTAGAGTCATCACTCTTGCTTTCATATCCAGCCACGACTCTTCTTCCAAGGATATATTTGGCACTTTTAAGATACTGCACTGTGTAGAACACAAAAATGCAAATATGTAACAAGTCATTTAACTGGGTACTGTCTTTTAACTTTCATTTATTACACAGTATATTTCTACATATTCAGATTTGAAGTCAGTGTGGTGACCCATAGCAAGCAGATTATAATTTACAACGGTCAAATTAATGATAGGTGACTAATGATTGTGTGCTACTATTTGCCTCACTGAATAAGCTTTTGTGTGTTGATAATGACTTACAGTATAATAAAAGCATCATTAGCCCTACTCTGCATGCATTAGCCATACCACAAGCCATGTCCGATGAAAAGCAAAACATACACAACAAATCCATCCATCATGAATTAATGGATCGTGAAATCCAAATCTTACTCCCAGCCAAATCAATTTTCTTATTGCCACTGGGCTTGGTTCATAATGACAGGTTGATAAATACTTTTTGAACCAGAAAAAAAAAATGCAAATAAAACACATCACAGCTAAGACAAACATTTATCCCATGATGTCAGTATAGTATGAACCCTATAAATTAAGGCACACAAACATGAATGGATTCCTTGTGCTATCTGTGTACGATTTTTGTTCTTTGCTCAGAAAAGCAACACAAAGAGAGTTTTAGTTAAACCTATGAGAAATATTCAAGAAAAAAAAAAAAAGCCACGTGGACCTGCTTCTATTCAATTCTATGGCGCTTCAGCCTCAGTGTACGACATGTTTTTACATAGCTGTACTCAGAGCTGGTCAAGTTCCGTTTGCCTTCAAATGTCTTCCATACACCACTGAGATAGTCACTGCTCTGGTAAACATCTACATCAACCTCATAAGCTAACAAATGATCACAGCAAGACATCCAAGTCTCATGCTTTTGGAGAATGCTTCTCATAAAGAGCTTTACTCAAGAAATATGGTAGGTGTTTTCAGAAAATTCCAAATTTGTACAATAGTTTCGGCAACAGAATAAACAGACCTACTCAGCAGACAATAGTTCCAGGAAAATGCATCACAATGTGCTTCTATATTATTGTACGCATTTTGCTGGCAGGAAAAGAGCCTTAGATGTATGACAGCAGTAGGCCAATTGGCCCACTGAAAGATGTACTGATCAAGTAACAATGTGCTCTTAAACTGAAACTTGCAAACCTTACTCTGTGAGCAGTACAAAAAGTACTCACAGCCCGCACAGAGATCGGTGCTGTTCAAATGAACTGTTTCCCATGCAAAGGGAAGGACATGTTTTATATCAGTCCCTGCCAAAACAGAACATTTATTTATATAGAATACTTTTCTAACATGAAAAGTGACTACTATACCTTAAGTTTTAAAAGCCCTTAGGTATGCATTAATGTGTTTTACCATAATTTGATACCAAGCTATACTTAGTCTCTATATCAAGCAAAAAAAAAACCTCCAAAAAACCCATGTGGCGATACTGGCTAAGGCTTAATGTAATCACCTTATCCCCCAATCAGGAGACAAACTCATTTGCGCAGTTTCTACATCACACAGAAGCATGGGATAAAAAGTAATAAACTGGGAATTAGGTGACGGAGCTGTGAAAAATAATACAAAGTAAGACCTCTTCTTTACAAGGGGTAATATTTAGGTCAGAACCACAAAAAGGTGGTTTAAAAAATACAAGCTTAATTAAAAAAAGGTAAACCTGGTGTTTAGTCTGCTCATGTTTTATCCTATAAGCTCCTGCTGTTCAGATGCTTGCCATATTCATGACAAAATTAAAATTTATAAATGCAGTTTCTCAATTCATTATGTTGTGGAAATGATATGAAAGAAAGGCAGGATTCTTTTTACGGGCTTTCAACATATATTACGCCAAGAACCCAAATCTAACCCGGTGTTACCTAATATCAGGAAACACTGAAGACTCATGACATAACCAAGCTGTATGCGAGCCATAGCACACACAAGAGATGCTGTTCTTCTTTTAGATGTATTGTGCATAAAATATTCTTGGATCCCCTTTCACCACCTCAGTCCATAATTCGGCAGATTTTATACTCCGCAGATACCATAAATCACACAAACAGTCTTTGGATGAAAGGTGCTTTTTAAATGTAAATGATTTCTACATGTGACCTGATGAAATGTGAGAAGTAGAAAAAAAGAATCTGTATTCATCCTTGTAATTAGACTTGAGAATGAATAGTTAAGCAATGATGAAAGCTGACCAACTGCTGTCAGCTCTTGGTGTTGATGTGCACTCAATGAACTTAACAAACGATGGCGAGCTCATGCAAATATTTACAGATTTGAGAAAACTGCTTGGTCCCCAGCCTCATTCTGTTTTCTGTTAAAAGCTGAGTGAATGATCTGCCCATTCCATGTTTTATTTGGAGCTTACTCCAACTATAGGTCACAGCCAATTTATATTGATGGATTTCAAAAAACCCAGTTGCAACTGTTGCATGCAAGGCATTGGCAGACAAGAATTGGTATAGATTAGTATCAGCGCAAGTTTCCTACCTTGAAATTCCACTTTCTCTGATCTGATGAAGTGTGAAAAAAGTCAGCCAAGTTGTGTACACACTCTGTGATGTTGGCTTTTGCATGCAGCATTGAATAACTAAACTCCTAAAGGGTTAGTCCACATTTTGTCCACTTTGTTCTTGCATCTCCTGGGTGCCACAAAAATCACTGTGTAGATGCCTTCAACTCTTCCCACATCTTTCGCCAAGCTCTTTATTGGGCTTTTTACATTTAAAAACAAAAAAAACGAACAAAAGAGGCAAGAGGAAAGAAAGCCCAGGGAAAGGTTTAGAAAAGCTGGAAATTCTGCAAGGACATTTCACTGCTAGGATCACCAATAGATATGTACAGCCAGACAGTCCATAAAAAAACGAAGAGCTGAATTTGAGTCACATATAAAGCACCACTATTTAATGCAGACGCAAATCCTTACCTTATTTTTTTATACTGCTGGTAGAGGTACACAAGTTATGTTCTCATATTAGTGTGCTGTAATATACTGCATAGCAGAACTGGGAGATGGTCAGCCCTATGAACTCATAAGTCTCTACTGCATGTCACAGTGGTGTTAATCTAACAATTAGAGCTTGCTGACAGGACGATAGAGCAGAGTGATAGCCTCATGTGTGAGCAGACAGACCTAGCAAGTAATATTGTCTTTTTAAATTTGAGTTTCAGTAATTTGATCACATATGAATCTGATGTGATCAAATTAATAAAAAAAGTAAAGTATATTTATTGGTGAATCCTAAATCATCCAGGGGTCTCTATATACAGTATGCCACATGGCTGTATACAATGATGTTGACAAGCACTGTTCTTGTCACAAAAATGAAACCATACTATCACCGTTTAGTTCAATGTTTTCCTAAAAATATTTGTCTATACATTCTTGGAACATTTTGGCTGATGTGATGAGATTTGGGCTGCTAACAGACTCTTGACAGTACGTTGATGCTTAATTACAGCATGCTTGTTGTTGGTTTGCTGCTCAAAAAATATTGGTGGTCAACAGTGGGGCAACAAGAATTTTTAGAAGAAGGCCAGCAATGGCAGCCCTCATATTACTCTCATGAAAGGGTCATTTAAGGTCAGTGACACGGAAAATGTAAAGTCTAAGATCAGCATGACTACCAGAGAATTTTCAAAAGTGGAGGCAGTAATGTCAGCCTACATATTTCTCTGTCTAGTCAGCACCACTCCATTCCACAACTTCTGTCGATGGAGCCAGGGAGAAAATTATTAACCACACTGACTGCAGCCATTGGCAGAATACAATAGTCAAGCTGGGAGATTCCTTGATCAACACTGCTTAGCCCAGATGTGGGAAACAGAATTTTTTCTCATTCAGCCCCGTGGGTTAAACAAGAAAAAAAACTACAGGGGTACAGTCAGCTATAGCCATTCTCTGTCAGGGTGGGTATTATAACCAACACGGTCAAACACAGACTTTCGACAGGCCCGGCTCTACCGCAAGGCGGCCACCTTACGGCGCTGCAGGGTGAGGGCGGAAAAAACAGGGCATTTGCGCTATGTTTTTTTTTTTTCACTTACCTTCGGTGCGGGAGAGCAGCGGCGAGTCAGCGCTGGTCCAGTGGGAGGAGCTCCAGGTGGGGGTCCTAATTTAGCTGGCCGGCAACTGCCTGAGGATTCCGACACGCGCGGCACCTCAGGCAGTCGCAAACATCGGGGCATTTTGACATCTACAAGTACGTGTCAAAATGCCCTGTTTTTACAGGTGTCGGGGAGGGGGGGTGCAAAAATGCACCTTGCCTGTGTAGGCACGAATCCTAGCACCGGCCCTGACTTTCGATAACACATCCCCTCTTCATCGTTACCTTCTCTGTTTTTCAGCAAAACCTACACGGATTAAGCTGTGCTAGGAAGCTTCTTCAGACAGCTTAACATTGAGCACATGCACAGTACACCACAACATATACCTATTTGGTATAGTGTAAAATTGTTAGAGGAGGTTCCGTTTAAAGAGGAACTTTACCCATATCTTCAAAATAACAAATACACCTTTAGGAATGTTTAGCAACGACAATCTATAAACAGATAATTCTAAATCACAAACTTATCCTTGCAGTGGGGTTACCCCTGCACTGCAAGGGTTAAGAGCTCATCCTGTCTAGAGGTCTCAAGCAGCTTTACTTACCTGATCCTCGGTCCCACCAGCTCCCTCTCAGCTGCTAGACTGGTCCCCGCAACCTCTTCTTACCTGGGCTTTGACAGTCTTAAGACTGTCGTTGTCATCATGTCTTATGCAGGTCCATTGACTTGCATTATACGTGAGGACGCAGAGGGACACTCCATCAGCCAAAGCAAAGGGGGAGAGAGGTGAGTGCCATTCGCTGCAGGACCGAGGATTAGGTGAGTAGAAATGGTTTATTTGAGCTCCCAAGACAAAATGAGCACTTATCCCTTAAGCCCGTGACACACTGCATGCAAAGCTGTGCAGAGCGAAGCAAAGCTGTCAGGCACGGAGCTTTGCATGCAGGTTATTAGCAGAATGCAGCCAGATGATTGACTGCATCTTTAGCCAAACGGCTCGCGCGTAACAAGCGGATGGAGTTTGCATCGTGACGCACAAGCTGATTGGCTGAAGATTACATTTTTCATCCCAGTACGCTCAGCTATGAGAGCTCTCGCAAGCAGACATCCCGGAGAGAAAATTACATGACATACTGCACGCAAAGGCAGCACACTGTTGCTTCGCGTGCAGTGTGTCACAACCTTTACAGTGCGGGGATAGCCCCATTGTAAGGGTAAGTGTGTGATTTTCCCGGAGTTCATATTTAAACTATAAAATCGATTAGCAGTTTTCACTTCACTCAGTGGTAATTTGCTGCATATTTGTTCTGGATTTGTGAAATGGCTGGCTCCACATTTTCCCCAGTGAAAGTTTCCTCTAAAAAAAGAGCTATAGTTGTGTAAAAGAACCAATGTGAGGACTTTACAGGGATAGTGCCAGGGTAAACAGATTTTTATACTGTGATTGTAACACCAGTACATTTGCAGCTATGAACAGAGAAAAAACAAATAGCTGTTGTACCAATGGCTATTCACCCTAGACCGCAAAGCACCCTGCTAAAATAAGGTGTTGGGGGATTAACAGAGTGAGAGGCTTTGGATAATCTGATCTTCTGTGCAATTCACTTCTCTGTGTGGAATGCAATGTCTTCATCCAGCTTCCCTGTGAATCTGTTATATTGGACATCATCACCTATTGCAAGAATAGCAGGATGTGAGACCAGTGACTGACAGATGTGGAGAGTGATGTAAACAGTGCAGAAACGGGGACTAATGAATGAAAGTACACTTTTCTTGCCGAGATGATAACCCTTAGCAAACTCATGAAAGCATGTTCATGTGTGTCAGGGTGTCGAACCACTGTAAAGAGCACCATCATTAAGGTGGATTGCAACCTTCCTGACAATGTAACTGAGTGGCCTTAACTAGAAAAACATAGGAGGGAACTAGAAAGACAAAGGTTTGTTCTAAAAACCTAAGCACAGACTTCATTATTTGCCCTGTGCTCCACTAAGCAGAAGATATATATATAATATATATATATATATAAATAATGTGAAATATTACAGATGACAGGCATTTGCAAAACAGACCTCATATTCTATATTAAAACGATAACTTCTATTTAAAGACAAATAAATTGCACTATAAACGTCCTCATTTTCAATTACACAAGATAAAGTTACTGCTAGTAACTCTGCGTCTTTCTCCAAGAACATAACTTATCAACCTATAAGACAGACAAATGAAAACGGGCATTGCTTGTTTTTAAAGATGTAGGCTTCAGGGATGTCAACCTAGAAAATAACTACTTGTTCCAGGTCAGTGACTCACATGGTAGAGAAGCTAGGATCAGGATGATATCCTTTGAACATGCACCTTTAAAACAATGACAGCTCTCGTATTTCTATTCTCACAGGTTTTGTTGAAGGAGAACTATGAGGCGAGTGATTTTTCATTCAACCTCATAGTTCGAGCTGACCTGTGACAATGAAACTGTCACACATATCAGCTCAATAGATCGGGAAGTGAGCGAACACATACCGTCGCTCGCTCACTTCTCGATCCTGTCCCTGCAGAGAGCTGTGACTGTCACTCCCTGCAGTGATTCCCCCCTCCCCACGCCGATCCTCCGGCGCTGACTGGAGGAACGAACAGGGGAGGGGGCGGGTACAGCTGGCTTTGCCTCTAGATAGGCAGAGCCAGCTGTCAATCACGCAGCTGGGTGGATCCCGACAGCAATGTCGGGATCCATCCCGACAGCAATGTCGGGATCCATCCCGGCTGCGGCGGTCTCAGTATACCGCAAACTGTAGCTCGCGATATACTGAGCTTTGGGTCACGGGAGAATGCTAGTTTATGTCCTCCCGTGACCCTGAGGAGAACTATGAGGAAAAACACTTACCCCATAGTTCTCCTTTAAAATATACTCTGAAGAGAAGTGCTTGCATAAAATGTGCATGTGGTAAAAGTAAATCTAAAATAGTAAGTTACATTGTCACCATTTAACATACTATTTTTTCCACTAGAGAGACAACAAACATTACAGCATTAAACAACAGCTTAGCTCTGACTTCAAAGCAGAACTGTTGTCTACCAGTTCCTACACATTCCCCATCACCATGTTGTATGGCTCCCATAACAGACTTCTTTTGTGTATTTATTATACCATTGCTCAACTGCATATGTACGTGAATGTATGTTGTTGGCCTAAGAACCCTTGACGTGAAGGCAGCCTGACAAGAGAACAGGATAGCTCTTCTATGACCTTCAAAATATTTCTATCTAACTTTAGAAATAATTATCAATCAACTTTTTAGGCTTAAACAAATCTCAACACACACACACGTACCCTAGTTTTTTTGTTTTTGTTTCTTTTTTCACACCGGTAAACATATGGGATGGGATGTGTGGCGCCTCTCTAAATCTTCCTCCAAGCATTCAGTCATACTAAAAATCTCAGCTGCCAGCAATGACATCATAAGCAAAAAGGATTTCAGAGAAAGTAAGATCTAACTTATCTGTCAGCAATGACATCATGAGTAGTAAAGATTTCAGAGAAAATAAGATCTAACTTGGCTGCTAGAGAGGATGGCATTAGTAAAGATTAAAAAGAAAGTAGGATCTAAACTTTAAAAAGTTTTATGGCGTTTCAAAAGTGCATAGGGAAAGGGAGCAATTACAGTAAAATAGGCTTGATCCTGGGAATTTTCCAGTTTCAAACATGATGCTCATCTTTCCTGCGCTACCAACTACCAAGTGACAACACATACTTCATAAAGTGTGGCTTGCCAAGAAAAACACAGTTACTGTGAGCAGCCAGAAGTCACCTAAGTGCAATAAATACTATTGGTGTCCTGCTAAGTTACAGAATGGTATTCCAGCTGAATGGACTATTGTACTGAACCAGTAGGACTTACCTTTCTTAGAAAGGATGGAATGACATTATTGCATGTTGCAATCCTCCGCCTGTACACAATGCCTGTTTCTTGGTCTGCTCATTGGAGGGATGAAAAGAAAGACAGCAGGAGATTGCACTATTTCTCTCTAAAGCATTATATTTCCAGATACCGTGATACAATAGTTACTGTTTCTTGTTTGCATTGAACATCAACATAAAAAAACAGAAGATAAATATCTAAAACAATTTCATCTCTGAACCCAAAAACTAAAATGTTATATACTGCAGCTTACAATCCTTAACATTATTTTCACCTTGTGATCCTGCCAGTAACACACTTCCTGTCTTAGGGTGGCACCACTCTATGGAGGAGCTACGTAGCAAGCCTTGGACAGCAGCACTGTCACCCTGTGGAGAGTGTAGTGTTAGATACACTAGAAGACTAGGATGGGCTTGATTAACAAATTAAATCTGAACTCCAGATAACACTTTTTATGTAGTTACAGCAACAGTTCTTTTTCCTTTTGGAATAAAGGTTTTACATAACTGGATAAAAGCGGACCATGAAAAACAGACTGATGAAAAAATAGGAAGCAAAGGAAAAAAAAAAAAGGTGAAAAAAATACTTCAACTACCAAATCTCAGAATTAGTAAGTTACAATATATGTGATCTTTGCTTTTGGGTTTAGGTGCACTTTAAGAACTACCGTATAAATTTGAATTATTCAAAAATCAGCGGCCATCGTCCCCGCTCTGACGCGCGGTCGTGGCTTCCTCTAGTCGAGATCGCTGACAGACCTGTGCACACTTGCTGTGAAGCTTTTTTGTGTGCTTTTTAGCACATACAGTACTGTACAGTATTTAGTCAATCCAGCATGGCTCCAAAGAAAGTGCAGAGCAAGCATGGTGGTAAAAAGAAAGTGCAGAGCAGTAATGAAGGTGACAAGAAGCTGCAGAGCGGTTAGTGTTCACACTCTTCATACTGTACTGTAAAAAAAAATTACATATGGTTCAGAACGGATTAACCTTATTTACATTGAACCTTATGGGAAAATTTGATTCCGTTTGCGACCAAAATCGGTTTGCGACCACGTTCGTAGGGGTATAGAACGAATCAACCTGATTTACATTGAACCCTATAGGGAAATTTGATTCGGTTCGCAGCCAGAATCGTGGAACCAATTAAGTTCGTGAACTGAGGTATCACTGTAATTTGATACAAAGTTAGATTTCATGAGATTTAGTAGCGGAATTAAAAGTCGCCTGTGTAACCCTAGACTGAGAGTTGTACAAGTCACAGCTGAATGAAATCACTCAAAATACAAAGTTGGCAGTAAACAAATAAATATTAAAGCGGACCTTTACCCTTATGTTTAAAAAAAACAACAAACACACCTTTAGAAATGTTTAGTAATGACAATCTATAAACACCTACTTGTAGATAATTGTCTGCTTTTTATTGTTTTTATACCTTATTTCTCTTTTCTTCCCCATTCTTCTGACAGTGGTCATGTTTACTAAGGACACATTACTAGCTCTCCATTTACTTCTGGAAAATTGGCACGTGACTAGACATGTGACCAGGATATGCGGCCATGTACATCATCTCAGGGGAAGAAAAAAAAAATCCTTTTCCCTGAGATCTCGTGAGACTACAGATGAGATTTCCTAGCAATGCTCTGCTGATGACAAGGCAATCCCAGTGTGCATTGCTTTGCCAAACTGAAGTCATTTTGTCTTTACACTTGCAGAGCATTCACTTCCTGCTTTGAAAGTATTTCAAAATCACAGCATTTTACACCTGACATGCCTGTGTTATTATCATTATACATAGAGGGATGCATTGGTAGAATCTGATCTTTGAGTGTAAAGGTCCATAAATTTCATCCAAGATGTGTCAGATCCCAGCTTGGATTCATAAATATATTTTGAGGTATAGTATTTGCAATAATTGCTACATGGAGTATTGTACTAAAGACCACATTTTCGAGGTCCTGTAAAGCTTGCCATTCACCTTTCAAATTCTTTTGTTCAACCCGTGGGCTGAACGTAAGAAATTGACGCGATTCCTCCATCAACACAAACAGCGTGTTGATTGAGGAATCAACACTGTTTGCATTGTATTCTGAACGGTGCCGCCAGCACCGGTCAGAATAACCAATCAGAGCGGGCAGCTCATTGGCTCGGATCGTACGAAGATTTCCCAGCCGGCTCCTTCGATCAGCTGACAGCCCAATACACTGGCCAAATTTCGTCCGGTAAAAACCGTCCGAAATTCGACCAGTGTATGGGCACCCTAACAATGATAAAAATCGGATACTTGGGCTTGCAAATTTAATTCATGCACTAGCTTTAGCACATTTGCTTATAGTGATTACACAGTACAAAATATTAATTACTGATATGATGGTATCTAATTAAAGCAGCAAATTATCTAATTAAAGGCAATTGCTGCATTCTAATACTAGCTACACTGCATCCATACACATATTAGTGTGTGTGTGTGTGTGTGTGTGTGTGTGTGTGTGTGTGTGTGTGTGTGTGTGTGTGTACTACTATACAGTATATACATAAATAGGGTAGATTTTAGCACACGATACATCTATTTTGGCATTTACAGAGGTACAAAAGGCTAAACTGTATCTAAACTCAAAAGCAAACATTTTCTTATATTGCAGCTTACAAATTTGTAACTGTGGTAGCTGCATTAAAACTGAGAAAATAAATAAATGAATGAAGACACATTTAAAGCAGAAGTAAAAAAAAACACAGATCAGGAGGCCTATGACAAAAGCTATTTGCTGCCTATCGGCAATTTTTTCCTGTGTCAGACATGTGCAGACCAGTGCACAGGCTCATTATGCTGAGATGCAGTAACTCCCGTGTGCATGTGCAGCAGCAACATCGGGACCTCACCAATCAAGCGGCTGAAAACTCAAAACCTGGGAGAAGACCGGGTCGAACATGGAAGCTCCGGCAAGGAAGGAGTGCAGCGCTGGAGGGGATCGCTTAGAAAGGTAAATTTGCATACTAGCACATTATGGCTAAAGGCTCCGGGGTTTCTTTTCCCATCCCTCACTTAACCTATACTTCAAGGATTAGTAAGCTGCAGTATATTACATTTTTGTTCTTGGGTTTAGATATGCTTTAACTTTAAAGGTGTTCTCTTTTGTCTCTAATGATGCAACCTTTAGCTACTCTATATTTTATGTGACCAAATGCCCTCTTAACCCTATTTTTTTAAAGCCTAAACAGGAAAGCAATAATATAATAGCAACTAGGGATAAAATACCGTTTTTTTGGTATCAAGTACCGATATTTTTTTTCGGTACTCGCTAATACCGAACACCGATACTGGAAGTCACAATAAAGAAGCCGGCCATCGTGTAAGGACTTGCCGCCCGGCTTCCCGATTAGCTGGGAAGCTGTCTCCATGCTTCCTCATCACCAAGTGACGAGGAAGGATGGAGCCGGCTTTCTAGCCAATCAGGAAGCCGGGGGGGGCATGTAAGGTCTCGCCACCCAGCTTCCCGATACTGGAAGTTTTGGTATCGGGATAGGCATCGGGAGCATTTGGGCGAGTAGGCGTAACCGTTACCAAGATACTACTATACAGTATATACATAAATAGGGTAGATTTTAGCACACGATACATCTATTTTGGCATTTACAGAGGTACAAAAGGCTAAACTGTATCTAAACTCAAAAGCAAACATTTTCTTATATTGCAGCTTACAAATTTGTAACTGTGGTAGCTGCATTAAAACTGAGAAAATAAATAAATGAATGAAGACACATTTAAAGCAGAAGTAAAAAAAAACACAGATCAGGAGGCCTATGACAAAAGCTATTTGCTGCCTATCGGCAATTTTTTCCTGTGTCAGACATGTGCAGACCAGTGCACAGGCTCATTATGCTGAGATGCAGTAACTCCCGTGTGCATGTGCAGCAGCAACATCGGGACCTCACCAATCAAGCGGCTGAAAACTCAAAACCTGGGAGAAGACCGGGTCGAACATGGAAGCTCCGGCAAGGAAGGAGTGCAGCGCTGGAGGGGATCGCTTAGAAAGGTAAATTTGCATACTAGCACATTATGGCTAAAGGCTCCGGGGTTTCTTTTCCCATCCCTCACTTAACCTATACTTCAAGGATTAGTAAGCTGCAGTATATTACATTTTTGTTCTTGGGTTTAGATATGCTTTAACTTTAAAGGTGTTCTCTTTTGTCTCTAATGATGCAACCTTTAGCTACTCTATATTTTATGTGACCAAATGCCCTCTTAACCCTATTTTTTTAAAGCCTAAACAGGAAAGCAATAATATAATAGCAACTAGGGATAAAATACCGTTTTTTTGGTATCAAGTACCGATATTTTTTTTCGGTACTCGCTAATACCGAACACCGATACTGGAAGTCACAATAAAGAAGCCGGCCATCGTGTAAGGACTTGCCGCCCGGCTTCCCGATTAGCTGGGAAGCTGTCTCCATGCTTCCTCATCACCAAGTGACGAGGAAGGATGGAGCCGGCTTTCTAGCCAATCAGGAAGCCGGGGGGGGCATGTAAGGTCTCGCCACCCAGCTTCCCGATACTGGAAGTTTTGGTATCGGGATAGGCATCGGGAGCATTTGGGCGAGTAGGCGTAACCGTTACCAAGTTTTAGGGCGACATCAGTTCATCCCCAATAGCAACCCGTACACTTTTTTTAATTTTCTATTGAGATTGCAACTGTAGTTGAAACATGAACATGTCTTAGAGTATTGACAGTACCTCTACCAGTCTTTGTTATCTATTTTACGAAACATTGTTCAGATACTTGCTTACCTGATTGTTCTTCCACAGTTTTCATCGCTGTAACATGTTTCTCTAAAGGAGTTGGATACTAGAGAAAAACATAAAAAGTATTTTTTTTTTAAAAAGGGACTAAAATTACTTCTTTGGGGATTGGTTCACATAAGAAAAATGGGAGTAAATCTGCATTATTGATCACTACATACAAGGTAGGAACAAGCTGAAAATTATCACCAGGGATCATCTATAAAACACATTTAAATACATAAATGAAAAAAAGGAGGTGTGATCTTAAAAGCAGCCTTTAGGGTTAAGTTAAACAAAAAAAAACCCACACATCTTAGACCAGTCCCTGGAATGTCTCTCCCCCTCCTTGCAGCAGTCTAAAGTCCAGGAAATAATCAATGTCTATACACGTGCATGGACATGAGGATGCCAAGATTCCAATGTGCTGTGGAGGAGGGGGAGACAGGCTGTAAGAAGCGCAGACAGGCTCAGAGCTTTGGGTGAGTATATCTTTGTTATTTTAACACCTATACACAAACGAGCACTTAAACCTTGAAGTGCGGGGGTAACTCCACTGCAAGGATAAAAAAAAAACATTCCTGGCGTTCCGCTTTAAGATTAATTGCATTCAACAAAAGTTTAAAAAAAATAGCTACTTATATTATTTAGCAAACCTTATAGATGTGCTTAAAGAAAACATGTACTGTGAGAAATAAAGTGGCTGTCACTGCTGACCTCCCCTTTGAAAATGCTAGTTGCCTGGCCATCTCTGATGCCAATACAATCTCAGCCACTTAACAAGAACGAGCATACAGAATAGAAAGAGTACAAAAGCAGAACTCTTGATGTCAAATTTGTTTTGAGTCAGTGATTCAAGATGTACTAAAGACTTTGGATTGGCATGACAGCTAGAAAATGAGACTCATCATTCAGTACATTCAGCACAGGAACTCAACAGCTCTAGAGGGTTCGCTGAAACTGCGATTAGTAAATGAGAGCCCAACACTAAGCCGAAATGATCATCTCCTGGACTTCCAATCCTGTTACAAGGTGCTCCACAGTAGAGATTGTAAACACAATAGAAGGGATTTATCAAAACTGCAGTTGTCCATGACAGCCAATCAGCCCCTCCCTTTCGTTTTTAAAGCTTAACTGAACAGACTGAAGTGAGAAGCTAATTGGATGATTGGACAAATGGTGTTTATTTTTATCTGACCAGAGTTCAAGTTTAAAGGTGGCCATACACTCTACAACCATCGCAAGACTTTAGTCTTGCGATGGTTGTAAAGGGATTAAAAAAACGTACGATCTGCCTATCTTGGACAGGCAGATCGCACTCTCGATCATCGCAAGCCCGCACACTGCCCGTTCAGCATTGCGGTCATCGGAAGCCCGCCCCTCAGGGGGGCGGGCTTGCGATGATCGAGAGTGCGATCTGCCTGTCCAAGATAGGCAGATCGTACGTTTTTTTAATCCCTTTACAACCATCGCAAGACTAAAGTCTTGCGATGGTTGTAGAGTGTATGGCCACCTTTAGAGAGACAGCGCAATCAGCCTGAGACATTGCTAACTCCCCATAGCAGCAAATTTGTTCTGAGGTGTTCACAAGGTTGCAGTAATATGTGTAATATCTTATATCTGACATGCTCACTAAACCTAATATTTTCCTTTTAACCCATTTCTATTTAGCCATTTGTTTGTATTACAAGTATATTTCAAGCTGAAATATATTTGTAGATGTTCTTATAAATATTTAAAATCCAAGGTTTCAAAAGGTGTGTAAATATTTAATGTACTGCTCTTACAATTAGTAAAAAACATTACACATATCATGTAGAGCGTAAGACAAACAAAAGTGGGTTATAAACTATGTAAATTCTGCAGGCAAAGCAGCCTATATTAACTTGTACTAATAAGGTAATATATTATTATTATTATACAGGATTTATATAGCGCCAACAGTTTGCGCAGCGCTTTACAATATAAGGAAGACATCACAATCACAATACAATTCAAGACAATATGGTAAGGAGGGCCCTGGCATATAAAACAATTGTTTGTTGAGGAAATCTTTTACCACAAAGAAAATTTCTGTGCACGTTTTGAAAAGTACAGTTCAAATGGAAAAGCTTTGTTTAAATGGAAAAATATTTTTTTAAAGCTAAATTTTGAAAACTACTAAAAACACACTTTAGACCTCATTCACCCTGGTAGTATCAAACCTGCATTTATAGGACATTTCTAAATGCATAGAAATGCATGTAATGTGTTTTTAATGATAACTGAGTGTTTACCTTCTATTAGATGAGGCCAGTAGTTTAGAGAAAACAGAATTCTGTTTGGGGTCTGAAAAGAAACTCCAAATGCAGCGCATGTAAACACATGTTAGCGCATATAAACTTATGTACAAATGGCTAAACCTGCTTAAACGCAGGAGAAAGTGATCTGGGAAGCACAAAAGTTGTATTTTGTTATATTTCCGAAATAACTTCACCTGCATTTAGATAACAAACGTATGAGTGCTAGTGTGAATGTAGCCTTGGGGCTAAACTACACAGGCAATTTTATCTGGTTGCTACTATGAAATGTAACCATTTGCTGGTAGTCACCTCTTTGGGCCAGAGCTATACAGGAGATTTTTAGTAGTTCAAATCATGCTAATAACAACTCTTAAATTACAAGGAGTGCAGTTGATAGCTACACATATGAAAAACAAAATGGTGCTTATAGACTACGCTTCACAAGAAGCATGCAGTAGCTATCAATCTCTCATAGTCGTACAATTTTCCAATCATGAGTGATCAATCTCTGCAAGATGCTTATTAAGACATTAGGAGTAACAAATTAAGGTTCTAGATTGGAAGCTACTAGGGGAAGCCTGAGCAGCAAAACTATGAGGAGGTAAACAGCCAAAAGGACGAAAAGAGGATGTCTATCTTCAAGCAGAGGGCTGAGAAGATACGATAGAGGACATCTAGTCACAAGATCTGTGGCCTGAGTGGGAGGTTGACTAATTGCCTATGAGGCAATATTGTAGTAGTAAATGAAGAATGCCAAGATCTCCTGCATTGAAACAGACGCACAGTCTGTATACCATAGGCTTTGGGAATAACATTGTTAAAAGGCAAAACCGAGGAGACACCTACCCTTGAAGGGCAAGCAATTCAACTGATCGTTAAGTGCATCCACGGTGCACTAGACATGAAGCCAAATTTCTCTGCGCATATGGACAAACATTACTCCCATGCAAGGCACAATAGATGCTTGCAAGGGGCTATAACAGCTGATCTGCAGGGCTCCAGACATGTATTCCAAAAGCCCCAGGACACAAGGGTTTGTCCTTAGATAGAGGGGTCTCCTTTAAGAGATCTGATCCACAAAGACATGATCTGACAAATTTGAGTCATCACTAACAGTGGCTAGAGAGTCAATCTACATAACTTAAACTGAACTCTGAGAAGGAAGTCCAGCTGTTTGCCAATAAATTCCCTAAAAGGTAAGAACATCATCAACTTGTTTGGTGGTACACTAGTTAAGGTGGATGACTGGAGTGTCTACAGTGGGCCACTTAATAAATTCACTTTCAAAAGATAAAAAGCTGCTTCAAATTGTCAGGAGGAAGCCATGAATTCATAGGTTGTTTCCAGTCCTCAAAGAGGAATGTTTTATATTTCCAGTATTTTGCAAAGGTCTTTACAGCCCTGAAAGCTCTAAAAGATGTTCTGCCTGAAACAGTAGGCTGATCCTCCAGTGCAGTGCAATATTGGCAAGGATAACCCAATTGTCTAAGAATGACTAAAGTCCTGTGTCAGTCAATGGACAATAAATAATTTTTTTTCACATACTGCGATGGAAAGGAACAAATGCAAGAGTTAAAAGCTTACATATAAAATGGAGAAGGAAAAAAAAAAAAAAAACTACTGAAAGGGAATAAATGAGTTAAAAACTATTTAGGGCTAATTAAGGGTTACACTTTTTTTCCCCATTTACTTACATACAACACTAATTTATGAATGAGGGCTGCATCAGCAGCCTTACATCATAAATAAATGAAGAGCAGCACTGAAAGCTATTCCCTGCAGATTACCCAAGGAAATTGACTCTCCCATTGTAATCAGCAGTCTAGCATAAGAAATACAGGAGGTTGCCATTGCTGACCTTCTAACAATATTAGTCACTGACCAAAAAATGTATGGCAGGCAGGAAACTAAGAAATGTCAGAAGTCCTTATTTGACTACTGGTTCTGCAAATCAAAGTATTGAAGCAAGAGAGCCAGCAGGACAGCCAGGCATCTCCCATTTTCAGAAGCAGAGGTCAACAACAGCACCCTTCATATTTCTCTTATGACAGATTTACATAAAATTGTATCTGGCAAGCCCCAGAAAAAAAATCCTAAGGACCATTTGTATTGCTTTTGGACACCGTACAAAGCCATTATCGTTTGTAAGAAGCTATTAACCAAAGCGCCAATTCAGGATCAATACAAATGCACTGTCCACCTATACAGTAGCAGTCTTGTGTCTGGACATATTAACCTATGCATGGATTCCAGAAAACTAATGCATTCAATACATTTGTATAAACTGGAGTTGGGTAAATTGACAAAAATGAGTGGAAAGATTACAGCAAGCATAGCAAACGGCCTTCAATTTGTAGAGCAAACATGATTAAGATTATTCAAAAATCACATTTATATGCAAAAATACTCAGTAGAAGCTGAAAATGGAATACATTGCTCTGCTTCTAAATGCTTAGAAAGATCCAGTTTTAGCTCCGATTTTCAAAATCAAGCTTACAATGGATATAGTGTCACCCAATGGTCATGCAGCAAATAGCACATTTCTGTCTAAAAAGTCTGTTAGGGACAGCATGAATACATCAGCACATACAATTAGAATTATTCGATTTCTTCTATACCTCTCGCAGGATGTACCAAGCTTGATTAGTTATGGCTGGAATGATGTCTTTTAAGTGGAATTGACTGTACCAGTGTGTCTGTACCAGAGCTATTATTTGAATCATGGGTTTTGAATCTACAAATTCAAAGACACCATCTGTATTAATCCTTTACATCTGCGTTTACA